TTGCCTCACGTTGTGCCAGGGGAGGCTTAGTTTGGACGTGAGGAAAAATGTCTTTACTGAAAGAGTGGTTAAACACTGGACCAGGCTGCCCAGGGAAGTGGTTGAGTCTCCATCCCTGGAGGTATTTAAAAGACGTGGTAGATGAGGGCTTAGGGACATGGTTTAGTGGACATGGTGGTGTTGGGTTGATGGTTGGACTCGATGATCTTAGAGGTCTTTTGCAACCTTAATGATTCTATGATTCTAAGCACCTTATCCCTCTGGAATGAAGTGGCATCAGCTGTCTAAGCTCTACCTTGACTCATTAGACAGTGATTTCTGAGTGAGATTTAATCTGTTGACTTTTGAATAGATTAGATCTGCTGACCTTTGAGAAAGACTGCCAGGACAGGCTTTTCCTACATGTTCAAACTCACATTAGCACTGATAGATGAGGAGGAATATTACTTGAATCTGCTTTCATCATTGATAGGTTATTACTGAGTGTTACTTTCTGATCTGTTCAGGTTTTATATGTACTTGTGATTTGTAGAAGACTGTAGAACTAATAGTAAAAGCTTTCAACAGATTTATTTGAACTGAAATAATGAGACATTAACATTACAGAAGATGGCTTAAATGTATATGTCCATATTTTCTAGAAGAAAGTTTAACAATGGTGTTATAATTGTAATAATATAATTGTAACTGTAATAAATTTAACAGTAAAACAAATAATAAAACAGCATGTCATAACGCACGTTCTCTTTTCTCAATGCCCTCATCCAGGTTTCTCCCATCTCGATGTAATGCTTGTGGAATGCTACGATCCAAAAGGCGACCAGTGGAATATCCTCCAGACTCCTATTCTGGAGGGTCGCAGTGGCCCTGGCTGCGCAGTGCTTGACGACAGTATTTACCTTGTAGGAGGCTACAGCTGGAGTATGGTGTGTACCTGCTTTCTGCAATGACCCCTCCATTCCTTCTGAGCTCTTGCAGCCAATCTGTGTATTACTCAGATGGGATGGAGAGGAGACGAGGGATGAAGTAGCTGCAGCGGCTGGTTTTGGTTTGGTTTTCAACTTGTGGAGAACATGGAGTATTTGTTCACGTTCGTGCTTTTCTATTTAGATGAGTTATTATCAGACTGTATTCACTGATCTGGAGTAATATAAAAATCAGATTAAATTTGGCAAAAGTGATTGACGGGACTGTATGCTTATAGCTCTGCTTATAAGGCGCTTGTAAAGCAGCCTGCTTTGCAGAGGCTGGGTGTTCAGCCCATACGAAAACCAAACCTCTTGAAAGGCTCCTAAATTAGAGCTCAAAACCATGAGTCACTTTCAAACATCTTTCTTTAAAGCTGATGTGTGACTTGGTTTTTACCAAAGCCACATTTAATATGACTTTTTGTTCTATTACAGGGAGCCTACAAATCTTCTACTATTTGCTATAGTCCTGAGAAAGGGACTTGGACAGAACTAGAAGGAGATGTTGCTGAGCCACTTGCAGGACCTGCTTGTTCAACTGTCATATTGCCAGCCTGCGTACCGTACAACAAATGATAGTCAAGGAGCACTGACACGAACACTGACTGCATTTGGGAAAATAATGACGGGTGACGTAAATATTTTATTAGGACAGGATTCCTGTTAAAACAAAGCTACCATAATTGACCCCTTATTCCATATTTATGCTTTAGGAGCAAACTAAAAGAAAACAAAAACCAAGTGTTGTCCCAGCTCAGATAGATGCCGGTGTCTTATGAAGCAAGTAGCTAAAACACACCGAACATTACATGCTGACAGACTGCCATTTCAGACTGATTTTAACTTTTTCCTGCTGCAGAGATATTCCTCACATCAAATTTAACTTTAAAAAAAATGAAGGCTAAATGTTCAAATACAGCCTGAAGAGACAAGATCAGTATTGTGCATTGTATCTACCTGCATGTGATCTGTGTTGAAGTCATGAGGATGTTGTTTTCATGAATGCTTCAGAATTCAGATAGTGAAAAGCTCACACTGCATTGCAGAATTGTCTCCTCCTCTGTAATCCTAACCTACAGCTACTTCACATGCTCTGCAAGCAACACAGCATCAGAAGATTATAAAAGGTAAAGAAATATCATTCAGTTTTTGCACAGCTTGGCAACTAATACACTCTGCCTTCAAAGTCCCCACGTGTAAGTGCAGCGGAAAGCAGACTACAATGAAAGACATGCTTTACAGAGCACTTCTTGCAATAGCAGCCTAGGGATTAGGATCAAATTCTTCTAATCACACTTGTGTAAAGTCAGAGTCATTTCACTGAAATCACATGGAATGACTGTTTTTACATTAGTACAACAGAAATTTGGTCCTACACCTTAAATTCTGGGTTCGTAGAGTAAGTTATTTCTGTGACGACTTAACGAAGCACCAGCACCCTTACTTACTTTTCACCAACCTGATAGGAGCATCCATGCTAGTTGCTTCCAAAGACAAGAAGACTGCATTTAACTATAAGTGTATTACTTTGGACTCTTAAATGATTATGCACAATTTTGGAGAGACACTGGTAAATAGTTAAAATACTCCTGTGTGGTTGATCTTAAAATGTACTCTGAAAGATTTTTACTATTGATCCAAAGTAATAGGAGGCGAGACTTTCCACTGCCTTATAGCTTGTGTAATTATTTACACGCTGCAAAGTGAGTTCAGAACGCTACCACATTGGACCAGTAGCATTTAGGACTCGCTTCATGAACCCATAGTTGTTTGCACAAATCAGGCTGTCCACGTTTTAAGCTTGTGTCTTTCTGTCCTGGCTTTGCAAAAGCAGTGACAAAATCTGAGCCCGATTCTTCACCCCCTTGCAGTTAACATAATCGTCCACACCTCAGCAAAGTATATGCATAGTTCTTCCATTGTGGTTTACTGGTGCTGCATCCATTACCCTCAGGACCATCCTCTTCGCTGGTATAAACTGACATTGCTCCGTTGAAGCCAACGGATGTACTTTGGTTTATGTCAGCTAAGAATCTGGCCTTTAATTTGCCTAGTTGTAACTGGCTGCACCAGATAAGAGGCAAGGGAGACTCAGATCCTGCATTTTCAAGCCTCCGCATATCTTTCATGATAGGACTTAATGCTAGTGCATTAAGCAAGGAGCAGGCAACTACTGGAGGTTGATTTCTGCTGCAGAGGCAATAGATGGGAGGAAGAATTCATTATTTGCTTTGCAAAATAGAAAGAGGGCGAATGTACACAGAAATTACGCTATATATTGAAGCTTGAGAGCAATATAAATAACGGAGAGCAAATACCATGGGACTGTTTCTCTCTGGCATCAGTCCAGTTTTATTGCCGTGCAACTCCCTTGCTTGCAGCAGAATTACACAGTTGTAAAATTGGAGTAATGCAGTAAAGACTGATATGGTACAAATGCAATAACCCAATTGATGAGGTAGCTGCACGCCTGGAAAAAAATGTTTAAACAAAATAATTATCTGAAGATGCTAATATTTGAATGTGCCGTTGGGGAGTTTTCCAGTGAGCATCACTAAGGAACTCATAAAGGTGGAGTGTATATCCTGAAATCTCAATCCATTTCTACTCTATAGTGCAATCTTAGTTGGTTTTCTATTTATTTATATTGTTCAGATCCAAGGGATCCCTTGTAAAATATATTTGGTGCAATCATGACTTTTTTTTTCCTTTCCTGTTGAAAATATATAAATATAAATATATATAAAAAGGAAACTGTTAAGATACTAAATGAGGAAACCTTGAATGACATTTAAGATCAGAATAAGGTCTGCCATTAAGCACTGACTGTCACCTGTCTCTACTAAAACGTACCATTTTTAAAGGATATTTGTTGTCCTTTTAAGTGGTTCTTTTTTTTACCAAGATAATTTAAAGATTTATGAGGACTGTATGTAAATCTTTCTATCTTTTAGGAAGGCATGACCAAGGAAAGTGCTAACTGAATAAGTCACACAAAGAATGTAAATTTTGTACAGTACTAGACTGTGTAAATGAAGCTTGCTTGTAGGGGGGAAACTTTAAATAAAACTTTATGTACTAATTCAACTGTCTGCCATATTCCTACTTATAAAGTGTATGTATAAATAATATCTACATTAAATTCTTTGGAACTTTTTTTATCATGTAGATGTGTAAACTTCTTTTATTTTGTGGCCGTACATAACTGCCTCATTGTTCTCCAAGTGTCATTACTCAGTGCTTGTAAACGCAGCGACGCAGTAAAATGTAGTGAGTCAGAGTCTTCCCCTGAGCGCACGTGCCTGGCCTGTGCTTCCAGCAGGGAAAGCCCCACCTGCGTGCCCACTGGCAGGGTCTGACCTCAGAAGCCTACTGATGCGATCAGACGCCTGTGAAATGCCTCTGCCTTGCGCAGCTCTGCCCGTTCCTCCGTCCCATGGTAAGATAAGCGAGAAGGACGCCGCCCGGTTAAAAGCTTTGGGGAATTTAATGCTAGTCATGGTAATTTCTTTCCTCTTCAAAATGTCCCCCCCTGCGATTAACCCTTCTAACTATGGGTATTTCTGTTCTTGGAGGGAAGTGCTGGCACGGGTGAGCAGTAGAGGAGTTGGGACAAGAGGTATTGCCAGGCTGAGAAGACAAGGTACAGGCAGGGGATTTACCAGGGAACAGAATCATTATCAATACCACTTACTACACTACATGTATTATTTATCAGTGCCTACCAACCTTTGCCATGGAACAGAACCTTCCTGTGCAAACCAAGTGGGTGCACTGAGCAAACAAAAAGGCAGTCCCTGACCCCCGTGCTTACAGTAAGTGTGAGCTGTGCTGGGGGGTGGCTGAGGGCGCAATGATAGAGTCTGGTCTAATGAGACGGGATCAGTCCTGTTCAAATCTTTTATGAGAAAGGGAGAGGCGAGCCAGCAGCATCTACGGTAAGATAGCACAATGAATAGGGCTGTTTTATTAATGAGTTTATTTCACAATAGGAAGGAAGACAGATTTAAGCTTTTTTTTTTTAAAGTAATGTAGGAGAAGAAAGAAGAGGAGAAGCTGGAACCAGTGGGCAGAGATATGATTTAGAAAGGAAGGGAATGAAGCGAGAAAGAAGAGGTAAGAATGAAAGGGAAAAATAGAAAACGAGAGCCTGTGAGAGGAGAAAGTGGGAAGTTCTTGTGGATCGAGGGCACAGAGAAAGTAAGGGCTGGAATAATGAGGAAGGCAAAGATGGTTTCTGAGAAGTGCACATCAGAGCAAGCCTGGAAAGAAATGACAGGAGAGGCGACACAAAGAGCAGAAGAGAAACACGAGAAAATGCAATAAGAGAGGACATGAAATAAACATGAAACTAAATAGGCGCTTGGTGATGGTACTGCTCCTGTTTTCTTCAGCTAATCATTTATAGTGGTCTAGCTGTCAAGGCAGAAGGATCAAATCAGCAGAGTACTTAGGTGTTGCAGTGTGCAAGCTTTCAATGCGCAGACTTCAGCGCAACAAAAATCATGAGATAGGTGCCCAGCACGGCTCTGCGGTGCCTGGGCTTGCGGCAAGCACCCAACAACAGTCAGCACCTGTGGCAAGGGAGGAGAGCTGCTGCTGGTGGTGAGAAGCATAAGAGCAGATGTGTCGCACGTCCCAGTCCCCGCTGGGCTGGAAAGAAGTATCTTCTCCATTTCTGATTCACAGATGAGAGTTGCCTTTGGGAGTTGGACACCTGGACTGTTCCTCCATTCTTCTTCTCTGCTGTCCTTCCTGCCAAACACTAATCTTCTCCTCCTCCTCCTCAGCATGACAAACTTGCCTAAATACTTTTGTGGAGCTGGGCCTGGAAAACAACAGACCAGTGAATGGAGCTATTTCCCTGGCCCTGAGCTGTGGTCCCATCCACTGCCCCAGAAGCGTGAGAAGGCTGGGTTGCTGCTGACTTGCAACCCATATGCGTGTCCTTAAGGAGGGCAAAGATTCAGAAATGTGCTTTTCATTGATCATAGCATTGTATTCAGAGGTACTGTGCACCCACCTCCCAAAAGCTGGCATTGCTTTCCTTCACGTGTTTGTCCCCCTTCCCGCTTTTAATACAATGATTTACTGTGCTAGCTGCATCTGTAAGCCAATTTCTGAGAAAAATCCATGCCAAACCTCATTATATATACCAGTTTGTATTGTATTATAACAACTCACCAGAATAGTTCTCTAGTTCTCTTGCTTTTAAAGGACAGACCATATTTCAGCTTGCAATTTAAGTGAAGCTTTCCGGGTACAGACAAAGGAGACGGAAATCCCAAACAGTGCTAAAAAGGGCAAAACAGTAATTGCTAACATACACACTCCTGAACAGTTTTAAGATACACATTCTCATTTCTGTTGCTAAGTGCAGCAGCAAAAAAGAGTCAGTGTTTCAGCCTCTCAGGTCCAGACCAAGGAAGCAGTGCTGGCAGCGCTGGAGGTCAGAGTGGTGAGCGGGAAGGGAAAGTACACTAATGAATTCTGGAGGGCTCGTAACGCCATAAAAGATTCAGTTAATCTGCAGCATAGATGTTGATCAGCGAAACTGAACCTAACTCTCTGGACCTTGTCAGATGTATTCTGTGCATGTCAGTGTTCCACACCAATTACAGATTTTAGAAGATGCTCTCATGCAAAACTATGTGCCCTAATATATAAGCCAGCTCAGATGTAACTAAAATTAAAATCTGACTGTGGCAAATCTCTGTGATCCTGATATATGAAAATCCAAATACGTGATTTGTTCCCAGAAATGAAAAATAACTTCAGCAGGAAATTTCAAAATTACTTATGCAGGATTAATCCAGTTCAATGAATGCATCTTGCGTTGATTAATAAAGCATTCCTGAATTGCAAAGTAAAACGAGAGGAGACTTCTGGTGCTGATATATTTGTGTATTTCTGAAGCTAGAGAGAAATACGCGCTTGCAAGAGATGTGGTCAACCAGTGTAAACAGAGATTGAATACAAATAGTGATTTTTCTAATTGTCTGTTTTCTCCCTGCAGCAGAAAACTACCTTTGTGTCATTGATCCTTTCCTGAAGAACACAGGTACTGTTACCTGCAACAATATTGAATGAGGACAGGGCATCTAACACGATTGTACAATGACTCCACTTAGCATCCAGATGACATCTGCAGTCTTCTCTAGCAAAGAAAAGCAAAACTCGAGCTACTTTCTGCTGATTTTCTTGCCACACAGAGTAGAAATTTTGGTCAAGCAGCTTTAGCTTTTGTGATCTGCTGCCTTTGAATTTAATTGGCCTTAGAGGTGAACAGATACAGGGAACCTATTTAGAAAGCAAAAACAAAGAGAAGATTTAAACAAATGCAGCATTTTCCCAAATTTTTCTTTTCCTTCAGCATACACACACACACACACACACACACACACACACAAAATCAGCTGAATTTCTTTAAAGTGGTCTCATCACTTAATCTAGAAACCTGTTCTTCAGTTTGGAGAACTACCTTCAATCATTACAGTGTCTTCAGAAGGAGTATTTACTAATGGTTGAGGTAAGCTGCACTTTGCAAAATACCTTTAAAATCCTTATGGTTTTCTCTTTAACAAATGGTTCCTCATATCACCCTTAAACATCTTCCAAAAAAATCACACTGGAAGAATCGCATTAGTAAAGTTTGCTTTGCATCTCAGGATCTTGTGTGATATTCAGTT